ACGAGGCTTTTTGTCGTAGACTTTCTTTCTACGTGCATCGTGTCGCCTATACATTTTAAAATTAGTTTAAGCGTTATCGGTTAAAAGGAATAAATATATCTTTGTTACCCACTTGGCGAGTAATTATTTTACACCACGTCACTTCCAAATGCTTATATTCCTTTGTTCTATCCGATAAAAAATTTTAAAAGATTTCCAACTTCATTCGACAATTTGGTCTTTATATTTTTATTACTACGTTCTTTGATTTTTATATTATATAGTGCAGGTCATTTTTCGACTTCGATGATAAATTTTTCTGTATCGAACATTTCTCAGATTTCTACTGCTCACTGCCGTATAGTCAAGTTGCATTAAAACGCATAATTCCTATTTCGACGGAGAACGCGCTGCGTGCAAAACGCCCGTGTAGTCCTGGTCGTAGGACAAAAAGGGACCAGGGCTCGACAGAGCGCAGTCACTCGCCTTATCTTATCTTTGTTTATGACCCACATACCAGCGGTTGCCGTCCGCTGCACGTGTACCATACTCCTACGCCTGTCATTACCCCTACCTTGTCTACCCAAGTGCGCTCCAGCCGCGGAGCGCTCAGTCTCACTCGAGCCGAGCTAGTGAATAGATGTGTCCAACCTACCTAGTACCAAGCGATCAGTGCGTGCAAGCTTTTGTTACGATATCCCGAATTTCATTGTAACAAAAACGCCTCCACCGGCAATTATTCAATTCGCAAGACAGGATATCCTGCGATTTCACTCATTTACCACAACCTGGTAATATCTAAAATCAGCGCCTATAAACTAGTGACGAGCCGTGATTTTCTACAACATGCACAATAATCCTACCGCAACGTCCGATGAACTTCATGGTACAAAACAGGTATCTACTAGCATTTTAAAACATTAATATTTGTTGTCACGAATAACGTTCAAAAATTTTATTAGAAGAAAAAGTATCGAAAACGGGTTCGTAGAGGTGGCATAAAGCGGCGGGATAGAAGGTTACGAGCAATCGCCAAGAAATTGGAGGATGAGCTCGCGCGTAAATCTGCCGACAAGACGCCCGACACTCCAGTGGAGATGCCAGACATTCCAGTGGAGACGTCAGACATTCCAGTGGAGGCACCAGACCTTCCAGTGGAAGCACCAAACCTTCCCGAGCCAGAAGTCATCACGCTTACTGTTAGTGACGATGTGACGTCGCGCGACAACGTGGAATTAGCATTAAGATAGTATAAGGCTAAACGAAGTATATAACCATTTATAACCTTAACCGTGCAGATATAATCGTAAGATATAATCATTTATAACCATAGTCTGTAGCTCTAGACTCTTAAGCTAAAAAGCCAACCATCGACATAACGCAAACACCTGCCAACATCTGTACTGCGAAGACATTCCAGCTTTAGATAAGATATGCCAATCGCCTAAGTGACCTCACCTAAATATCCGTGGATACCGACACCATGAGAACATTCCAACCACCGATAAGCCAACCGCCCGACAGCATTACCTAAACATCCGCTGTGATCGACTGAGCGCGAACACGTCAATGTTGTTAATTCCGTGGATTTAACACTCTTTAGGGGCGTGCTGGTGTAAGTTTTATACCGTCGCACAAGTATACCGTTTAGGTGAGGGATTTAATATGTTAAAAGACACGATTTATAGAATTTTTAACATCGACGCAAAAATTTTGCTGGTTGTACAGAGACTGATCTTAACTAGTAATTGGTTTCCTATATATCTATAACTTACGGTCTAAAGCTAGAGGGGTTGGTGAGTAAGGGTGCAATGATCTAGGCTAGTTTGTTCGAGTGTGTAATACGCGGAAAAGTTAGTGAACAATAAGGTGACTGACGCTTGCTTTAGGTGAGCTTTTACACCTCTCCTATTTAAGAAATTTTAATTATGGAGCAAAATTTGCTTTAAGATAAAATTTTCGTGGTTTGACAGAAAAATGTGGGTTTGGTAAAGATCTATTGAAAGAAACATTTCTAGATTGTGTATTTGGAGCTGGTGTTTGTTGTCTAATTTCGTTATTTATATTTATGTTTTCCGAAAAAACTTGGTATCGTACGTTATGCTCCGGTTGCTGTCTATTAATTATATCATTACGTGTACATTGATACAAATATTCGAAGTACAAGATTTAAACACTCTAAGCAGGCCGCATTTTCGCAGTATTAGAATTATAAGTATTAAAGCAGCAAAATATCCTATGAATCGTGTACTCTCTCCGATAGTTTCTTTCCATGCCTTTGTCCGTGTTTAGTGTTTAAATTTAGATATTCTGGATTCAAGTTTGGCTATCGTAATACCTGTTTTTTTTTTAATTTCAGTTAAGGGTTGTTTATTTGCAATTGTGTTCATGTGAATATTAGAAATATTAACATTGTTTGATGCCAGTATATCTTTTAGTTCTTGAAAATTGACGATTTTATTTACAAAAATTAAAACCTTTTGTTCATATTTAGAGTATTTTTTTGGACATATTGTAATAGAATCTGTTTTGACCATACAATGATTATTAAGTGTTAATAATTGCGTGCCATGATGTATAATGGTTTGAGGTGTAGAATTGTCGCATAAAACCTTCGGGTTCGGGTGAAATAACTATCCAACTGTTTCCTTTTTTTTTTGTTACGGCACCCCGGCCCCTCGGACAGGAGACATTTCCTATCCGGGATTAACTTAACACATTGGCGACGGATGACGCGTATACGCGTCATTCAAGTTCTTTACTTGGGTACGGATGACGCGTTTTCGCGTCATAGATATCTTCATATATTTCTCCCAATATAAATTTGTAAGACGTTATCAATGGTTCGATTTCTCTTCAGAAATTCTCTTCGAATTGAAAAGAGTATTTATGATTTTAATTTTCTATTATATTCCGCAATGATTGATACCGTGATTGTATTTACAACGTTAGCGTGATGAGGTACAAATTCGACGCTTGGACGTTGCTTCAGACCATAGTGACAGATTTCAAGTAACTCTGTTTATATCAGAATAAGATATTTCTTTAGGGTTGGTACAGTGACCCTGCATTGACAGGGCAAGAGTAAAATCTTTTAGTCTCTTCTTGGCCTTTGCAACTATTGTTGCGTCGCACGGAGACACACGGATATCTCACGAGCGTCGCTCGAAGGTACTTCTGTACCTGCGAGTGACCATCGGCGAGAGGGTGGTTACCTTTTCTTCAAAATACAGACTATGATTAACCAATAGCATATTTCAACCACCTCTCTTCGCCAACTCGATACATGTCAAACAACTTATCCGCGGGTCTCATCCCCCGAACGCATTGAGTCCGATGAGAGACTCAAGTCACCTCACAACCAAAAGGTCTCAGATTACGAATAAACATCACCTAAGGAACAACGAAAAAGAACAGTGTCTGTATCCATTTTCAACGAGGTTCAGAATTTTTAATTCAAAGCTGAACCATAGCGAGCTCAGAACCGCACAAGGTCGAACGCTCGCAACAACTATCGTATGTGTTTCTGAGCAGTCAGTGCTTTCCTGTGTTTGAATAGTAAAAATTTTATTTGTTATATTTTTCTAAAAATCCAAAAAATGGAGGAAGAATTCCTTTCGGATATCTGTGAAGACTTTATCAGACGTCGCTGAAAATGACAGTGAAGACTCTGTATTGTACCGTTACGACGAAGAGTGGGTTTATTACGTGTGCTTTCCTCGTCGTCATCAAGTGAATCTTTATTCATTGGGGATGATTTATTTGAAAAAATTGTGCTTGAAACAAATTGTTATCATAACACAAATAGCCACAGATATAAAAATCCTGCACATAGATCTAAATGGGTCGATGTCACAGTCCCGGAAATAAAGAAAGCATTTGCCCTTATAATAATTATGGGCTTAGTGAGGAAAAACAAGATACACAATTATTGGTCCACAAATCCACTTATAGCAACTTCAGTTTTTGGCAATACTATGAGTAGAAGAATAATATATATGTATTTCTTAACAAATAATAAAAAGGTTGAGAACCTCTGACGTTTGCACTTTAAAAAGTATACATTTTTACGCACAAAAGTTATTTACACCTTTCCCCAAAATTCTTTTGTGAAATATTAATTAGTTAAAAAGTTATGCCAGTTATTTCCAGCGTAACGCGATTACAAGGAAAGACGCGAAATCGCCCCGTACCCCGTCGCCAATGTGTTAAACATCCGGAGGGCCCGTTCGACGTCTCCGCCTTTTCTCAGGATCCGTCCATTCCCGTTTGCGCTCAGCGGCCTCCTTCTGCAGCATCACTTGCTCGCAGAAAGAGGCCGTCGCGTTCCAGGACTCCTCGCTCGCTAACATGGCCTTAACAAAGGCTGGCGGCGAGAGGTCCCGGCCGATCTTCTGCACCAGGACTCGGCGATCCACCTCTCACGCGGGACACTCCGCGAGGGTGTGTTGGACCGAGTCCCGGAGACCCTCCTCACAGTGGTAGCATCCGTCCGTCGCCTCCTTTTTGATCCGGTTCAGGTACTCCCCGAAGCAACCATGCCCGGAGAGCACCTGGGTCACGCGGTAGATGATCCGCTCCCAGCCACGGCCCATCCAGTCATTCAGACTCGGGAGAACCACCCCGACGACGCGCCGGCCAGTTCTGCCTTCCAGGTACGTCTGTCGGGCCTGACGCCTCAGCACCCCGACCTCTGACCCCGACAGGACCGCCCCGCCCTGACGGAGTTCACGGAGACCCTCATAAATGAGCGCGTCTCCCTCCGCCAGGTACTCAAAGGAGACGAGTCCCGCCAGAGTCATCGCCGCCTCGAAGGAGACCGTGCGATACCCACGGACGACTCTGATGGCCACACTCCTTTGTACAGGGTGTCCCGTAACTCCTCGAACACCCGGAAATGGGAGGTTGCTGGGGTGACTCTGAACAACTTTTTCCTTTACCAAAATGTTGTTTGAAACTTCATTTTTGGATTATTAACGAAAAACACTGGTCAATCAGAGCGCGCGTAGAGCTCACGCTCAGGGACGGAGAACAGAGGCTCACCCGCGCGCGATCGAACAAATGCGTACGTGACTTCTTGGTTATCGATCGCTGTCAAAAAAATTTGACTTTACACCGCTATTTTTATAAGGCTTAGAGAAATGGGTTTTTGCCATCATTCCGACATTTGTATAAATTTTTGAAAAAACTGCAATTAGTCGGAATCGCGAAGAAAATAGCGAAGGTCGTTTTTACAACTTTTTTATCTGAGCTCGTAATGAAAATGTAAAAAATACGTTTTGTAGATCTATGCCAATTATACAGACGCTAAAAATTTCATCGAAATCGGTGGATGGAGACACAAGCGACAGGCATCGAAAGATGTAAGAATCTGCAGATTTATTAGAGTTCTAGGCCGAAAGTCATAAAATAGTGCGATTTTCACAATCTTTAACCGTTTGTAGCTCATAGCCGATTTCCATGAAATTTTCAGCGTGTGCATAATTGACATAGATCTACAAAACGTATTATATATGCTTCCCAATTTTTCGTCGTGCCAAGTAGTCAGGGTATTGACGTTTACATAATTTCTTTTGATAGAGTTTGGTGCACGGATCGAACTGTTCTATTGTAATGGGTGCGTACATACTTTTGTCGTTATTCATGATTATATAACAGGGGTGGTCGTAGCGCGGTTCGCGAGCAATTTCAATTTGATGCACTATTACCTCGTAAAAAGCACTGAATTTGCAGTCGTCAAAAAGTGTCGGTAACCGCAATTTTCTATTATCCGAATATTTAATAAGATTTCTCAACACTTATTCACTTACATCTGTTGTCTCTCTTTTCCTTTAATATGTTGTCCGTTGAAAAGTATACACCTTTCCATTCTTCTTAAGAAGTCTCTTTCTACATTTTTTAACATTTGTTGAGGTATAGTTTCACATGCGTCAGTGATTCTTCTCTGCAATTCGTGAATATCATTTACGAGTGTATCATAAACAATTTGTTTTAAATATTCCCAAAGAAAACAGTCGCATGCCGAAAAGCCCGGCGACCTTAAAAGCCATAGTAATCGAAGCAAAATTGTTTGTATGGATTGATATAATTTCGGTAAAAAAATACTATTTGTGCGACTTTTTTCTCTGTCGTCTCTTGCTGTCACAGCGGGACGTGCTCTCGAATAGCTTTCATCTCTACCGTCACCATAGATGACGTACAGGATAAACCTTGCACCTAATATATTTTTGTGTCCAGTGTTCTGAAATACCGATCGTGTAAAAAATTAGAGTTTTTGTTATGCTCCCTACGATACAAAGCGGTGAGTTTAGGAATTACATACAATCCAACCATCAAAGATGGTATAGTCGACAGATGTAAAAACATCCTCCTTTATTAAATTTGCATATAAAGATACGTACATATATTGGATTGCTTAGGTAGAACTGTTCATAATCTTTTGACAGCAGTAAAACACGCGCATGTGATGAATCATCTACTAATAAACAATTACGTTATTTTTTATTTGTAATTTCATAGTTACGTTTAATTCTAATTCCAACCACTACTAATGTTGTAATCTTATTCTATGCTGAATCGATAACGTTGGTAGCGACACAAAAATGGTAAGGGTCTTCTTGGTCCTAAAGTCCCGGACAAAAAGTCCCATAAGATGCAAGGTCTGTCCTGTACCTCCGTGTGTGAATGTACACACGACCAAATTGATCGTTTTGCGCGATTCAGTTCTTCAAATGACCGTTCCTAAGCGTAGAGTGCGCTTCAAAATAAGTAGTTACAGCAGTAGTCTTGCTTGAAAAGATATATGACTACGGAAGGCGCAAACACCAGAAGTCCAATTTTCTC